TGAAATCTCAATTGGCACTTTGGGGGTTGCTAGAGGATCAGTTCCTCAGTTTTCCACAACGTGCCTGCAAGGCGTTACTTAACCCCAGTGAGCCTTAAGCTGCAAACTCCTACACAGCAAAACACAATCACTTCTGGGCTTGTTAACCTCACCCCTCCACTCAAGGCTTGCACAGAGGGACAGGACCGTTTTTTTTTACTAGAACACCAGAACCTTCCAGAGGTGCCTTCTGTGCCAGTACAGAATAGGTCACATGGGATCCCAGAGACGGTCACTTGAAGAACACGAGCGCCAGGTAAGCAATTTCTCCCTCCCTCCCTCTGTCTCCCTCCCTCTCTGCTCCCTCCTTCAGGCCTTCCCTTCTCTTGGTTCCCGCATCTTAAGCCCGCCCTCAGGTGTGCCTGCCCCCCTGCCCAGCCAAATCCCCTCTACTCCTCGGAGCCAGAGGGCAGCTCTGCAGCAAAAGGCCGACCAGGGCCCAGAAAGAGACAGACTGTGTTACCTCCTCAGTTCTTCTTCTGCCAAATGACTTCTGCGGGGTCATTCCCTGGGGTCCAGCACTGGATCAGGAAACTAGAGCCAAATCTCCATAACCTTTGGCTTTATCCCTCTCCTGCTAATAAATGGGCTCCTCTGCTTCTTGTGAGCATTCAGACAATAGACAGCCAGTTTGGTGTCGTGGTTAAGTGTGCGGACTCTAATCTGGGAGAACCGGGTTTGAGTCCCCACTCCTCCTCCACTTGCACCTGCCTGGATGACCTTGGCCAAGCCATAGTTCTGATAAGAGCTGTTCTTGAAAAAGAGCAGTTTCTGTCAAGAGCTCTCTCAGCCCCACCCACCTCACAGGGTGTCTGTTGTGGGGAGGGGAAGGGAAAGGAGTTTGTCAGCCGCTCTGAGACTCCAAGTGAAGGGCGGGGTATAAATCCAATCTCCTCCTCCTCCTCCTCTTCTTCTTCCTCTTCCTCTTCTTCTTCTTCTTCTATAGACGGGTTCCCTGTCTCAACCCTCCAACAGCAGAACAAAGTTTGAGTCCAGTCAGGCACCTTTAAGACCAACAAAAGTTTTATTCAAGGCAGGGGCTTTTGCGTGCATGCACACTGTATCTAAAGAAGCGTGTGTGCACACAAAAGTTTATACCTTGGATAAAACTTTGTGGGTCTTAAAAGTGCCTCTGGACTTCAAACTTTCTTCTGCTGCTTCAGGCCAACACGACTACCCGCCTGAATATATCCTCTAACAGCAGAACAGTCTACCCTCCCAGGTTAACAAAATGCAATATAGGGCGCAGTGAGCCACCCAGGCGGTTACAGGGACACGATGGATAAAGCCCCTGCAGAGCAAGTCTCAATGCCAGCAAGTGAGACTTGCTACAGTGCAAAGGCCCACCCGAGCCAGCGCACTGTGGTGGTGAGCATGCCGGGTGGGAAGCAGAGACAGATGGGTCCACACTCGGCCACAAAACACACTTTAGGCCAGCTGTTCTCTCTACGCCTAACCTCCCTCATAGGTAGTAATTCGAGAGGGGATAGCCGGGTTAGCATTAGGGATTACATTACATTACACATTTGACTTATATACCGCTCCTTCCCGGAGGCTCAGAGCAGTTTACATAGAGATTTAAATTACCTAACTAGGGCCACAGTGCAAGGGGAGGGGTGAGTGCCTACCAGGCACCGAAGCAGCCGTGATCTTCTTCTTACGTTGTTCTTATCCGTGGCGGGTTCTTGCTGTATTCAGGCGACGGTGTCTCGGCGGAGGTCTCTCTCTCTCTCACATCGACTCCTTCTGGGGTGGTCCTTGCAGTGCGCGGCGGCGCGATGGCTGCAACTGCTGGTCTCTGTCCCGCAGGCTCCGACCGCGCTACGTCACCACGCTGCCACGTCGCCCGGACCAGTCACCGCCCGGGTCGCTCGCTGCTTGCCGCCAGCCCTGCCGCCATGTTTCTCTGCCGGATTGCTGCTCGCCGTTCACTGCCACTGTTCCGCCGCCCAGCCGATGGGCACAAGCCACCTTTTTCCAGTTCCACAAACCAAACCATGAACCGATACAAACTTGAGAGGTCGGTTCATAAACTGAACCTATTAATGATCCCTGCTTTCTGCTCCCTTCCACTTTTGCTGGGGAACAGAAAGCAGGGGGTTTAAATGGCTGGGAGCCATTTTAAACGGGAGCCATTGAAACCAAACAGAGTTATTTCATGACAAACAAGAGATTGGATTTATACCCCGCCTTTCACTACCTGAGGGAGTCTCAGAGCAGCTTACAATTTCCTTTCCGTTCCCCTCCCTGTGAGGTAAGTGGGGCTGAGAGAGCTCTTTTGAGAATGGGACCTGAAAGTGAGAGGTTTCATAAACTAGGGTCATGCGCTGGGAAAACTGACTTCTGGGTCCCCAGCGGGGCGATTCAGTTTGGCTCACTTTAGCGCAGCTTCAAATATGGTGCCGGGTGGGAGGCCCATGAAGCGCTAGGGTGGGGGGTGGCAGCCGCTGCCAGTGAGGTCCCTTAGGGCCTTGCCCAGACTCTCTTGCAGAGATGGACCCTTGTCCTTCCCAACTGCTTTATGCAGCCCAGATCAACTCCACGTTTACTCAGAAGTAAGCTGTGGTGGCTCAAGTGGTTAAGACGCTGAACTGCAGGCTGGGGAAGGTCAGTAGTTCAGCAGTTCGAGACCCGAGTGTGCCGCCTGATGGAGTTAGCGCCTGTCTCTAGTTCCAGCTCCTGCCAGCCTAGCAGTTCGAAAGCAAGAAATTGCAAGTAGATAAATAGGGACCACTTCAGTGGGAAGGAAACAGCGTTCCGTGCGCCTTGGTGCTTAGTCATGCCGGCCACATGACCATGGAAACATCTTCGGGCAGCGCTGCCTCTTTGGCTTGGAAACGGAGATGAGCCCCGCAACCCTAGAGTCAGACTCGACTGGCTTTCGAGCAAGGGAACCTTTACCTTTACTTTTAATAAATAGGTACCACTCGGGTGGGAAGGTCACAGCGTTCCGTGTGCCTTGGTGTTTAGTCCTGCCGGCCACATGACCACGGAGACGTCTTCGGACAGTGCTGGCTCTTCGGCTTGGAAACGGAGATGAGCCCCCTGGAGTCGGACTCGACGGGCTTTCGAGCAAGGGACACCTTGACCTTTAAGTCCCACGGAACCGTCTTCCAGAGCAGGCTACGGGGAGGGGGGTGCGCTTCAGGCCCCCGCCCCGCCCGCCCTTCCCCTCCTCAGCGGGCGCTTAGCAGGGGGGCTGCCCGAGAGGCGCGGCCTGCCGCCGGAGCGGGACCCCAGGGCCGGGGCAGGCCCGGAGCCCGCGCTGGGATGTGGCCCGCGAGCCGAATGCCAGTAAGCGCGCCGAGCGTGGCTGAGGCCGGAGCCCGGCAGCGCCAGGCGGCGGGGGGCCTGGCTCCGTCGCCTGCTCGCCGTTGGCTTTCCCTCGCGGAGCGCCAAAGCGCACAGGGGGCGGAGGGACTCGGCTTCCGACGGGCGCCGTCTGGCTGGGCGGGGGGGCGGCGTCGAGGCCGCGGCGCGTGTGA